ATATATACGTATATATATTTTGTTACCCACATCGTCATGTTTGGTCTGAGAGCTTCTCTGGGTTTCTTTTTATTGTGTGCGCCTTGTGTGTGTGTGTGAAAAAGAGAGAAGAAGTTTTTTTCATAAATCCTTCAAAAGTTGGATGACGATTGTTTTATGATTGGTGGTTTTGAACCGTGTTGGAAGTTCTGCGGGCCGACAAAGACGCCTTTTGCTGTCAGTGGACGTAGCGGGTGTACATTTTTCTCTCAAAGTCTGTCGCAGACAAAGCAGCTATGTGTGCTTGTATAGGGCATAGATTGTTTATGAGGTTTTCATTTTGCTTTTAATAGCTGTCTGGTTGCTCCGGTTTTCTTAGAATGGCAAATTCGTGTAATTTGATGTTTTCCCATCCATACGTTGTACAGGGTCATTATGCAATATTCATCTTAACCCTATCCGTACGTCGTGTTTTACTATGGTATCCATACGACGTGGGGAACTCTGTGCCCCCACTTTCCAAAGAGGAAATTTACTCGTTTATCCGATCCGTACGCTTTGCATTATAGCAGTCTGTCAAAATGATTTTTTGAGAAATGCTGAAAGTTTCAAAGAGATTATCATGCTAGATGTATTCTAAAATGTGAAGAATACAACCCGGGGGTACAAAATGACCCCAGGGCGTACGGATAGGGTTAAAACGTTGCACATGTTGGGACTGTGTCATCAATAATCACTGGTCAATTTCCTACGTAAAGTCTGAGAACTTTGTGGCTCATGTTGCTATGAAAGGCTTGCCTGATTTACAGAATCTACAAAAGAGGCATCAACACTTGTTTGTTTTGTTTTTTAATATGACCTTGTCTGGAAAAAGCTACAATTTTCCCCGGAGGATTTGGGATTTGAAAGAATTTGCGAGGGGTTTGATAATGCACTTGTGTCGACCTTGGGGTATGGCCAAGTTTATCTGATCTGCGGGACAAAAAAATTGCGTCGTGACAGCGTGTAGGGTGAGCAATAATTCTTCTACTGTACCTGACAGATGCTGGGTAGTTTGCTCTCAAGTAGTCTGTATTTGATTCCTGAGGTTATAATATATTACCAAGATTACATCGATTTGTGTCACGACACGGTGGAATCAGGCGCTCGTCAATTTTTTATCATTTGGAGTTATTGGTAGGCCTATCATCCAAAAGCTTATTCGTTTGCAGCACTTTCAATTAAAAAAAGCACCCGTCTATCTTGAATAGAAGAAGTCGAGAAATTTGTGATTGAAGAAGGGGGGGGG